AAATCAGTTATACCCTTATATATATTATAAGAAAATGACTAGTAAATGCTTGGCTTAACAAAAATTTTAACACTTATTTTAATTTAATTATTAAAATACAATATAAATATATATGATTCAATTAGTTTTTATATTTTTTGTGTATGCTTATATTTTTAAGTTTATCTATTTTTAATTTTAGATTAAAAATAATATTTTTTTAATAAATATATTACACAATATATTAAATTAAAGTATATGCCAATTAATATCCTCTTACAAATGGTATATTTTTTCTCCTCAGTACTCACTTAATAAATACTATATTTAATAAAATTCCCTCTAAAATTTATTACTTGATCTGAGATTTTTTATTTGTGCAGTTACATGGTGTATCTTACATAAGTTTGTGTGCATTTACACTCAGTCGGCAGGTTCGGTTTAATTAAAGATAAAACTATCAACATCAGCATATAATAATACGCATCTTTTACTTTCAATGCAACTTTGTCTTAATTCAGAAAATGTTTCTCTAAGATCAAACTTCCAAAATAAAAGCCTTAATTTAATCAATTAGGGAATACACACAATGAACCGTCCCCAGTTTTGCAATCCCTCAGATATGTTGTGGTAGGACATGACTTCCCAATCATCATGCAAAAGCTTGGTCCATGTCAATATCGTTACCAAATTTAAACAAAGCACATTTCAACGCCTGTTGTGAAAACGCAGAGCATCATTGTCCCAGTTAGCATTCCAAACCCATATTAACACTTGATTTTCTCACAACCATATATACTACTATTTCTCATTCTTAACTCTCAATTTTTATTCCCAAGAGATATGAATCTCGTTTGGTCTCCAGATATGGCTTCAAAAGCTTATATAGACACTGCTAAATTGGTAAGCTAGCTAGCTAGTTAATTACTTAGCTTAATCTGCTCGATCTCACATCTCCAATTTTTTTAGCTTTAATCCATAAATGATTTAGCTTACTTAACTTTAAATTTAGGGTTTTTGAAGTTTACATGTATCAAATCGCATGAATAAGCTCTTCTTTTTTCATTTTTTCATTTTTTCTTTTCTTTTTTGGTAATTCTAATAGTGTTATTCTCTGAATCACAGTGTCAAAATTTCGAAGGAACCGGCGTAGCAGAGCTGCTGTCCGCGATGGCGGCCGGATGGAATTCGAAGCTGATCGTAGAGGCTTGGTCACACGGTAACCCGATAGCAACTAGTGTTGGTCTGGCCGTGGCAGCCAGTCACACTTGTGGCAGACATGTGTGCTTGGTTCCTGATGACCGCTCAAGATCAAGCTACATGGAGGCCATGCGAGAAGCCGGAATCTCGCCGACAAATGTGGTGGTTGGAGACCAAGGAAAGTCGGTGGCGGAGATCTCCGGTGTCGATTTCCTTGTGATGGATAATTCAAAGTGCAAAGATATCGTCAGGGTTTTGAGGTTGAGTCAGGAAGGAGCGGTTTTGGCATGCAAAAATGCATGTGAAAGGAGAAATTCTCGATTTCGGTGGAATTGGGTGCTTGATAGAAGAACACATGTTATGAGATCGGTGTTCCTGCCCCTGGAGAAAGGATTGGATATTGCTTATGTAGGCGCTAATGGTGGAGATGGGGCCTCCGATGAGGGTCCTAGCCGTTGGATAAAGCACATCGATCCAAGATCGGGAGAGGAGCATATATTTCGCCGCTGAAATGGTCGTATCTTTTTTTATCAACTCTTATTAGTTCTTCTTAGTTTTTTGATCTATGATATGTATTAAAAGATCGGGACTTAAATTCATGATATAACATGCATGTACACAGCATCTAATCTCTTCTGATAAAAAGCAGAGCCAGATGGATGTGAAATCTCCTTCCTTCACTGTATCTACATCGATCTTTGGTTAGGAGAATTAGAAAAACCAAAAGAAAGACCAAAAAAATCATGAGATTTTGTCCAACTTATTGCCGCAGGCCAAACTTGGCCTGACTAAGCGTTAATCTCTTTAGACGGTGGTGCAGTGACCCTGAAAACATGCTCCTCGCCCGTCCATTTATCTACTTTAACAATCCAACGACTTCTTTTTCTGCTGCCACCACCAACTTTATTAGTGGACGCAATGGCACCGCCAACTCTGGTCACCAGCAACCCCTCTCCGATGGGAAGAAAGTGGGTCTTAAACTCAGTACTCCAAGATTTCTTGCGGAAGGCATTGTACCCTACAATAAGACCCCTGGCCCGCTGGCCGCCCCCTCTTGTGCTGCCCTGAAAACCCCCTCGTGATCCGTGACGTTGCAGTCAATGAGTGCAAAGTCTGTGCCTTTGTAATCTCCTCGCAGAAGGGTCTTCGCATCTCCAACCACAAACTTGACACCGTCTGCGTAGCTGCCTAAAGCCTTTTCTGAGGCGGTAGAGTACTCAAAACAGGGGAAGATACATACTATACGGCCGCCTGTCTGGCAAGCTGCAGCCACCAGCGCTAACGTAGTGGATCCGGCAACGCCAGAACATACCATCACCATCATTTGGGCATTGTTGGCAGATATGAACTCGGATACATCAGGTTCTTTACCTCTTTTCCCCTGTAGAAAAAGAAAAAACAAAGTCAGACCAAAACAAGATATCATGAGACTTAAATTGTTAGATCTTCATAGGGTTTTCAGGTTGATTTTGCTTACCATTTTCATGGTTCGGAGATAAGCTAGCCTTGGTGGCATCCTCGGCAGACCAATTACAACCCATTTTTGGTATTTCCTTTGGTTTAGATCGTTTATCTCTCTGTTTTTGGAAAGTATGCCTTTGGGGGAAAAAGGAAGTGCATGTTTATATTTACAGAAAGGAAGGAGAGATATGGGAAGTTGGGAACCTCGGAATGGCTGCAACGTCCATGGTCCATGCCATTAAATTATAGATAGTGGAAAAGCATGCAGAAGCAGAATATTGCAGCAGGCCAATTCTGAGGAAGGCTCTAATTGGGGAGATTCTACCATGACAACTGGCAATATGAAAAAAAAAACCCCTAATTGAATTTTTTTTTTTAAATAAACAATGGCTTAGTTGAAAATTTTGAAAAATACGATTTAGAGATAATATTTTTATATTATTTTTTTGTATAATTTTATGTGTTATTTAAATTATTTATTTATTTATTTAAATTTTATAATATTAAATGTATCTACTCATTTAATTAAAGATAAAATAACTCTTTTTATATTTAATTTACATATTTTTTATTATATTTTTTATATAAGATTTTTTCACTTACTACACATAAATTTGATGACTTTTGAATTTTTGTGTAGATGGAATATGATGATGATTTGGGCCCTTTTTTATGCATAGTTAGTGGATTATTCCCTGTGTAACAATAAAAGAAGTAAAGACAAAATAGAAGTTGGAATTCGTAGCTCAAATGTTTACGTTGGTATCCTACAGCGTTTTGTTCCGTATTAGGGATATATAAATTTATGGATAATTAATATGGTCACCTTTTCTTGGAGTAGGTTATACACCACCTTCTATTGATAGATATTCATTACCCATCTAGAGTACAAAATTTCCCCTTACCGACACTGCTTTTATCCTTCTTTTTAGGACAATCAGACAAAACAGTTGAAGTTATTTATTTTTTTTTAACAACTTCGCATTGGTGGATTTGAACTGTGACTCTGAGATTGAGAGAATGTATTTATATGTGGTTTGATGTTACTGGATTTAAAAGTTTAAGTGTCAGTTGAAGTTAATTTAGTTAAAATTATATCATTAAATAAAATTTTAAATTTAAATTTTATGAATAAAAAAATAAATATTAAAATAATTTTTTCTCTTTTGAGATTCAATGCAATTCAATTTCAAATTAATTGGGATGCAATGTCACTTTTGAATATCGAGAGTTTAATACAAAAAAAGAAAGAAAGTGTGTTTTCTCTTGTTTTCTCAGCAACCAAACAGAGTGCATATCTGGGGGATTAGGTTTGTGTATTAATGTTATGGTAACGTAGGAAAGAGAGACAGCTTGTGAGGATGGCAAAACGAAAAATTGGAACAGAAATGGAACATGTCAGTCACCTAGTAGTTCCTATATTCTGTCTTTGAAATAATGGGGGAAAATTGGAACAGAAATGGAACGTGTCAGTGAACTAGTAGTTCCAGTTGTCGCCAATTCCTTTCGTTTTCTTTATAATTTCAACACCCTTTCTAGATATTTTGCTCTCCTTACTTAATTTTTGGATTTAATGGAAAGAAAAAATTAATTAATACTTTGATTTCTACGCCATTCTCAACATATTCACATATCTGAGCTGTAATGTCCTCTGCTATATGACCATCTCACAAGATATAAAATGAGAAAGGTAGTGAGATGTAGTGGTTTTACAGCAAAGTTTGCTAGAAACCATGGGATGCTCACGTTCATTTAGTCAGGAATCCAACATGTACTCTCCGTCGTTGCGACGAAGATGCAGCTCACATGCTCAGATGCTGCTTGCGTTTTCCTTGCTCCTGCGTCAGTGTAAAACATGGAGACTAACTAGGTTGGGAAAATACTATATATTCGTTAACCAAGGAAAACCTGTTGACTTACATATATAATAAAGTTACTTCATTTATTTTACTTAGTTTTTTTTATTAGATGTTTATATGATCAAATAAAAATTTAAACCTCATTTTATTAGATTTATTGTTATTAACTTATGTGACAGGAATCGAAATTCATCAATTTTCTTGTCTATAAATATGGTAAAAATCGTGGCTTTGATGTGTAGTAATTTTTTTATAAAAAAAAATCTTAGATTCTCATCTAATAGCAATTATTGAAAATCTAAACGTTAGGTAGTGGTTGTAAGAAAAAGTTGACAAAGTTGACAAAAAGAAGGCTCAAATAGGGACCATGTATTTTGATTTTATTGGGGATGGTAACGGCTTCTCACGGATATGAGACTCCTTCGCATCTCCATCCTTGTCAATGATGGATACGAGAATCTTTATGAGAATTTTTTGTAGAAGTTCAAAAATAACCTTCATCTCCATACCTGCGAAGAATGATAGGTTTTTGTGGATATTTAAAATCTTTACTAAATATTAATTATACCTTTGACAATTTAAAAAAATCTAGTATAGAACATTAAAAAAGAATCAATAAACCGTCATTTGCTTATTAATAACAATTAAGCTCAACATAATTCTACTCAAACTCCATTGTTTCAGAAGTAAGTGATAGATTATGACCTTGATCATCTTTTTGATTCTCATTATTTTCTAATGCAAGAGGAGTCATAGCAAAAGATGAAGTTGGTATAGCACCAGAGTTCGATATAATACTTACACTTGATTCATTTGAAATTTGAATCAAAATAAAAATTACTAGTTAGTGAGTCAATGGCTTGTAAATTGATTAATTATTTCTTAAAAAATATTGATTGAATTGTGTACATTACACTATCATTCTGCTTTATTTATGAGAATTTGATCAAATCTCTTTAACATGCAAATATTTGTCTGGTGAATAAAAAT